CCACGTCGGCCCCAAAGCCAGTACTAAACTGGTCCGCTTGCAAAAGTTAACAACTTCCGTACCATAAAGTTTCGCTTCTTTCTGCTAACTTTGTTTACTTCATCGTGAGTCTGTCCCTGGAAATAATCGAACCTACGTTTGTGGTGTTGCGTTCTTCGAATCTTAAGGACTCAGACAGCCTTACGGAAAGGGTCCGCAACTACTTACGGTCGTGAATATATGGGCTCAACTGTCCCTGAACTAGCACGAGAAAGTCATTCTTGTTGTAACGGTAGCCAAAGCCGAGATTTCACCGCCTAATTTCGCCTTGTGTGAATCCCCAAGGAATAACACGACAAGAAGTGGGCAAAAACAGACGTTTGATAGAAAAGATTCTTTGGGAAACGTGAACGAATTGTATTTAAAATTTTCGACGCTGGTACACCAGGTCGTCGTCGGACGTGAAAAAAAATGTGCAAAGAACAGTGCGCATTTTTAAACATGCCGAAAAATCGATAATTATTTGTCATCCTTGGTCAATAGCAGGTTTTGGTGGTTGGCGTTTTTCTGGCTTTTTTGAGATTGGTGTACATTGAATCCAAATCAACGTGCCTATTGATGCATGATTCGTGGCCTTTCCTAAATGGACAGGAACCTACTAAGCGGGTTTGGTCCCATGCAAACTTGTGCCCAGTTTCAAGCGAATGCATGGCGACTTTGGACAGGTGGTCGTGCCTCTTTACCGCTAATTGATGTTCATGTATGCGTGTAGAGGCGGACCTTCCGGTTTGTCCACAATAAATTGCATCGCAGTCTCCACAAGACTTTTGTAGACGACCTCTTTTCTGTCCAAATAGCCAACCCTATCCTTAGGATGTACAAGCCGATTTCGAAGTGTGGTCGTTGGCTTGTGCGCCCCTTGGATCTGGTACTTCCTCAGGTGTCTTTCAATAAGTTCAGGCACGTTTTTAATATATGGAAGTGTCCGCCAACTTCTTGGATTGGGCGCTTGATTTGAACAATCTAGTTCCTTTTCTTTTTGTTTTAAGTATTTTCGTCTGATGCATCGACGCACGAACTCTCTGGAGTAACCGTTTTTTGAGAACAATTTGAACAGGTAACTGAGTTCGGCTTGGTAGAGTTCGGGGTTAGAAGAATGCGTTCGTGCTCGATTCATTATGGTGGTAACAGCACTCCGTTTGTGAGCAATAGGGTGGTTGCTCTTGTAATGAAGGATAAAATTAGCATAGGCCTTTTTTGCGGTAAACCGATGTTTGAAACGTTCCGTCAGCATTACGCTGTACTAAGAGGTCAAGAAATGGAAGCTTACTGTTAACGTCGTTTTCGAACGTAAACGTGATGTTTGGCATCGCTGAATTATGTTGAGGCCGATTTTAACAATGACGAACGTGTCATCGACATAGCGTACCCGCAACTTGGGGTTAACTGGTGGTAGAGCCATAGTTTCTAATTTTTGCATCGCTATTTCAGCCAAGAAGCCTGAAATGGAAGACCCCATCGGGACTCCTTTTATCTGTTTATAGTATTGTTGTGCGAACGAGAAATTAGTTTCCAAACATAGATCTAAGAGTTCAAGCAGAGCAGATACAGGAAAGTCCATTTCGTAGGAATGAAGTAGTTCTTCTGTGTGCGAGGGTTTTTCGGTAGAATGATATCCGTGTTCTGCTCATGGTCTTTGATGCCCAGTTTGCGTATTAGCAGGCGCACATTCCAAGCATCATCAGTCTTGGTACGGGATATGTCTTCCTAACGTTTAAACCAAGCGTCGAAAGTAACGCCGGGGTCGGGATGATACGTGAACTCGGTGATAGAGGCAGCAGCTGCGTCCGTTGATGTGGACTGCTTCGCAGAAGAATCAGGTTTAGAAAAATGCATACTTAATTTTTTATCATGGACTCCATCAACTTCATGTGAGCCGCTTCTGATTGAGTTTGTTATTGCTGTAGGGTAGCCAGCAATTGTTCTGTTAAGAGGGACATAGTGAGTTCTGAATCTGCAGCGCCAATTGTCGTTATGGTAGCCAAAGTCGAGATGTCACCGCCGAATTTCGCCTTGTGTGAGTCCCCAAGGAAGAACACGACAATAAGTGGGCAAAAGCAGAAGTCTTAGAGCGTAATTGGTACAACTTATTTAGGGCAACAAACGCGCGTTAAACTATGTCCATCGGGCCAATCAGCTTATGTCCTGGCGTGGGTACCGACACGACTAACTTGTGACTCGACAGCTGGCTGCAGCTTGAATTTTAAATTGTTGATTGACTGCCAGTATGCGTTTGACGCGTGTAGGCCGATCGATAGCCTGCCGTGAACGCGGCTCGCTACCTGTACGATAGCTGCCTGCTAGCTGTTCGTTAGGCACCTCCTAACAATTCTAACCCAGATTAGAAAGTATATATCAATGAAATATTCAACGGCTTTATTCTCAGTAGCTATCTACCTTGTGTCGTTGGTAGAGCAGACTTTCAACCTGGGGAGGGGCTTGTCGATTGTGTGTGCTACTTTCAATAGTCACATTGTGCAGTAAGATTCCACCGGCGTAGTTGCGGTACCAATAGAAACACTTCTCAGTAGTCGTATGGCTTCCTAAGACAGAAAAGCTTCTTGAAGAATTGATGATCTAAATGAGATCAGCTTGGGCCCCGTTACATCTGTATAACTTAATGCTTAAGCTTTGTTAATATAATGATCCTACGGCACCTACCCTCGATTCATGTTGTTTCACAGGAGTGACGGCACTGTGAGGCATCCGACCGGTTCTTCACGCATATAAAGTCCACGAAAAATTAAGCACTTATGAATATGGCAATAATTATTAAAACGTACTGAGATCAACGAAGGTCGCCATCACTAAGGTAGTTCCTAGCCCTTTTACGGTCCTAAAACACATCAATGCTCCCTCCGCTCTTCAGCATCGCCTCGTCTCCATTCGAGATTACGTAGCCAGGTGGAAAGCTGAGATCAATAACTGGATGGTGGCATCCTTTCGGGAGGGGGACGATTTCTTCTGTTCGGCGCAAGAAGCTCAGTAAGCCTGCGGGACACAGCCAACATTCAATGAGGGACCAAGCCCCGGATACACGTTGCTTTTATCGCACCCGTCCCCATGCGCCAGTGATTTATTCGGTTCTGGAGAATCGGGCATGCGATCCAGCCCATCGACCGAGTTATCGTGAAGCCGTCTGCCCGTAGCACATGTCTTCGAGTTAAACCAAGTTGAGTTCTCGGCGTCTGCCTCACACTTCCACATGCTAACGAACCGTACGAACCTCTCGATGTGCTGAAGCCGAGCCTGGGCGTACAAC